ATAGATAGATAGATAGATAGATAGATAGATAGATAGATAGATAGATAGATAGATAGATAGATAGATAGATAGATAGATAGATAGATGCCTTTGTAATCCTGTTTGTAACTTTGTATTAACATACATTTGATTTGAGAAAAAATTGCATCAAATGAAGCATTTAAAGTGTATTCTGTACTCTGCTTTCTGATACTTTAAGCACGCGCTGTGAGTCTTCTCTCTGTTGTTGTTGTAAATTGGAACAAGGTCGCAGTCTTACACAGGGTTCAATTGGATTCTCAGCTTGTCTGAAATAAATAAATCGATGTAAGCAAAGTGGTGGCGGTGCATTTCCATCTGATCATTAGATTCTAATGCCACTGCAGCACATTGCAGGCGTGGGTGAGCGTGGCTTAATCACTTGTAAGACTTGATGGAGTGTGTGTTAATAAACATTAGGCTGTCTCTCCTCGCTGCTGATGAGTGGTTCATGTGCTGGCCTCTCTGCAGGCTGAAGACGCAGTCCTGAAGATTGATGGAGGGCCATGCTCTTCAAACAGCAGGCATTGCTGAGACAGAAGCTCTTCGTTCTGGGCAGCCTCGTGATCGGAAGCGTCCTCTATCTAGTGGCCAGGGTTGGGACTTTGGATAGGTGAGTGATCAGTCCTCTGACATACAAGACGTCCTGAGTTAGATTTATTTGGAAATACTGGGTGCACTAACCAGGAATTTGACTTCATTTAGAAGTTTTTGTAGACATTTAGCATACGTTAAAAAACTTTTGATGAAAACAATACAGCATTACGTTTTGAAGAGATTGGGCATTATCTTAGATCTGCTGTAACATCTCCAGATGACATTCTCTCCTACACTGCAAAAACGATACAGATATTATATATCACACGTTATCCTTTTTAGGGTACAGTTTGAGATATATATAAAAAAAGCAAATTTCAAAAGACGAACATTTCAGCAGAAGGAAAACTTTGGACACATGAAAACTAGAGCTACAATCACACTGCAGGCCTTAATGTGCAATTCTAATTTCCTTCTGTGAAATCCAATTGTTTTTACAGGTTGTTCACATTTTCAAATATATATATAAACTGTATTTGATCTTCCATGTGAACTGCATTTATACAGTGTCCTGCATGCGCAGTAGAGGAAGCAGTCACGTCACAAGTAGAAAGCGTGTTCATTGTTTACAGAAGTAAGCATGGATGGTAGTGCTGGAGCGCATCTAGCAATATTTCATTTCTTTTCCAACTGGAGCCAGAGGATTAACAACACAATCTTTTCCAGAAGATCAAAATAAAAGGCTGTCTACACAGTCATGTCATAGGGACCTATGTCATTAGGGAGACCAAAAACCTGGTCCCTACATGGTAAAGTTCTCTTCTGGGGTATAGTTTAGGACTAAGGTGTGAATTCAGTTGAGGTTAGGGTTATTTATGAACCAGTAATGGTTAGGGTTAGAGTAGGGGTCACAGTTAGGCTGTAGAAATTGGTTAGAAATGAATGGAAGTCAATTGAAGTCCAACGTGATTGTATGTTTACCTTTCTTGCCCTCAGAGTGAGGATCTTTTTTTTTTTCCAATTTCACCATCAGATTGAGGACCAGTTGTTGTAAAGTGAGGACATTTTGCTGGTCCTCACAAGCTATTTTGCTAATGGTTAGATTTAGGGCTAAGGTGTCAATTGGGCTAGGGTTAGAGTGAGGTATGCATTGGAAATGGTTCGTTTTAGGGCATAGAAAGGGTTGAAAATGAGTGAAAATCAATGGAAGTCAATGGGAGTCCTCACTACGTATGCCCTGTGATGGACTGGCCTCCTCCCAAGACTGTACTCCACCGTTCAGGTAGAGACTTCTAGAGATAGGCACTGACAGGCACAAATGGATGGATGAATAGTACAATTCTGACCTAGGTGTGGGGGAGCAGTGTGCCGAAGCAATTGCTTCATCTATGAGTTTCTTTGACCTTTAGGGAAACTGTAGCAGGGAGAAGTGCTGCATGTGGAGGGGAAGTGATATTTGCTCTAACTAGACCGTCATAACACTTCAGGTCAGTTTGATGTTTGTGCATCAGGCTGAGAAAAAGACTTCTTAGATCCTGTGTTTAAGGAAGTGGCCAGATCAGTTGCAACTTCAGCCAGTCCTACAATGTGTATACAGTGTGTTTTGTTGTATATCATGGTGTAAAGATTGTGAGGCCTTCTTTCTGACATCATTAATCTCAGGAATTTGGCAGCTGATGCATTGGCCAGAGGATTTTATTTTTGCATTTAGAAGGACATTTTTAAAAGAATGAAATTACTCCTTATATATTTAACTTATTGTATGAAAGATTATAAATGTTTTTTAAAATTCTTAGGATATCTGTTTATCTGTGTTTTTTTCAGGCTTCAACCAATTTGCCCCATTGAGAGCAGATTTCACCCCCCTGAGCCGGAGCAAATCCCTCTCCGAACGCTGCAGTTCAAACGCGGGCTGCTCCATGAATTACGTAAGGGCAATGCCACCAAAGATCAAATACGCCTTCACAACCTGGTCCAGCAGCTGCCTCGGGCCATCATCATTGGAGTCCGCAAGGGCGGCACCCGTGCCCTGCTGGAAATGCTCAACCTCCATCCGGCTGTCGTCAAGGCTTCGCAGGAGATTCACTTCTTTGACAATGACAAAAACTACGCCCGGGGCATTGACTGGTACAGGGGTAAAATGCCCTTCTCCCTCCCTCACCAGATCACCATCGAGAAGAGCCCTGCCTATTTCATCACGGAGGAGGTTCCCGAGCGCATTTTCAAGATGAACTCCTCCATCAAGCTGCTGATTATCGTCCGAGAACCCACCACCCGGGCCGTGTCCGACTACACCCAGGTACTCGAGGGCAAGGAGCGCAAGAACAAGACTTACCACAAATTCGAAAATCTGGCCATTGATGCCAACACCTGCGAAGTAAACACCAAATACAAAGCAGTTCGGACAAGCATCTACACAAAACACCTGGAGCGCTGGCTCAAGTACTTCCCCGTGGAGCAGTTCCATATAGTGGACGGGGATCGCCTCATTACAGACCCGCTGCCTGAGCTGCAGCTGGTTGAGCGCTTCCTCAACCTTCCCTCCAGGATTAGCCAGTATAACCTGTACTTTAATGCCACCAGGGGATTTTACTGTCTGCGATTTAACATTGTCTTCAACAAGTGCCTGGCAGGCAGCAAGGGCCGCATCCATCCGGAGGTGGACCTGTCAGTAGTGACTAAACTGCAGAAGTTCTTCCACCCATTTAATCAAAAGTTTTACCAGATAACAGGAAGAACATTTAATTGGCCATAAAATGTAGTTTTCGTCAAAAACAATAAAGACAATAGTCTCATAAGGTAACAGCACTTTGTTTAATTTATCACAGGTATGATATTGTGACCAAATGTTAAAACTTGATGTAAGTTTGTTCTAAATGTGTAAAATGGGACTCAATAGTTTGATGTTTGGACTCGGAGGTTAGGCAGAGAGTCAGTTTTCCTATCTGTCAGTGTTTTTCCTGTGAAAAAAAATGTTAATGCAGTCTTTACAGTGGCTTGCAGAAAGGTTTATACCTCGCGTAATATTCTGCTTGTTGTAATGTCAACACAGCAAATAGTATAAATTTAAAAAATCTGAATATATCAGAGTATGTTCATTATCAGATTCTTTTAGCACAGGTGTAAATGACCAGATTTTTAATCACAATCTATCAATTTCCAATATTACAAAAATCTGTCACGATAGGATTTTCATTTGATTCAATCAAATTCCCTGAAGTTGATGGCTGCAACATGGCAAAATATGAACGTTCAATAGGTGTGAACCCATCTGCAAGGCAAAGTAACTAAAGAGGGTCATTTCAAGAAAATCCTCACAGGCATTTCTAGAATTATCATAGACTTTAAAAGTCAACCTTTTATTCAATAAGAGAGTCAAAATGAGAAAAAGTTCCGTGTTTTTTGTTATTTGTTTAATCCAAACTGCATGTTAGGTACAGATGCCATGGTTCAACAGGTTCAGACATCATCTGTTGGTTCTCAGTCTCTGATTTCTTACTTAGGCTAACTTATTTGATGTTAATTGCCTTTGATTTTCAGCAGAGGTTTATCAGTTTAAGCTTAAGCCTTTAGCCTATCGTCCTATCTAAGGCCTGGTGCAGTGGTAGCATTAGCCTTGGTTATTGTTAAAATGGAAGAGATTTGCCTGAGTTGTACATGTGTATACGCAATACAAAGATTGTGATAAACTTGATGCCGTACAATTTTAAAGGAGAAGTCCAGTCACCACGGAATAATCAATGAATCATTATTTATTCCTAAACCTAATGTCTTTGCTGTGATTTAAGCAATTTAAATGAATTTTGAGTGATATATATATATATATTTTTTTTTTTAGTCTGGGAGCGGCCATTTTTGCCCAAATATAGTAACCC